ATATTATATAATAATAATAAGACACGTGCACTCGCTACGACACAACTACTCAGACTATTCTAACAACATGCCTGCAAAAAGTGTAGCCACGGCACCGTCCCATACAGAGTCACCGCAAGTGCTGGGTTCCCCTTGACCTTCAGAGTGAGCACGTACACTGTAATGGTGAGCACGACCAGGGGTAGAGTGGTCACTATGTATGTCAGAGAGATTGCCACAAGCATGCGTGTGGTTTTGCTGCGTCTACGTGCGCTGCCTGAGAAGGAGAAAAATACAGACATTGACGTTATATTCGGAGATTCACATGTTTTGGGTAGGGTTGTTTTGTTTCGTTTGTTTGTTTTTGTTTCGTTTTGTAGTTTGTTTTGCTTTGTTTTGTTTGGGGGGGGTTGTAACATAATATTCTTTTCAAAATAGGTTTGTTTATTGATTTTCTGGGGGGTTTGTTTTAGTTTTTGTTTTGTTTTTTATTACAACATTTGTTTTTATAATAACGAGGGTTTGTACAAAACAAAACCTATTTTAAAGGGCAATGACGCTTAGGGCCAATTTCAACAAAACTTGAAACTGATAAAAGAAAAAAATTGTCCTTGGAGAAGTCAACTGTGTCAATACGAAGAAAATCAATCTGCTTGTTCGAAAATTGTCAAGCAAACAGAATGTGTATTCGTGCACTGAAAAACAAATTTATATAAGATTGACATTGCCAAATAAGCTCATGGAAGGTTGTGGCAATTGGAATTGGCTGCTGAAGGTGTTGACCATTTCTCGTCAGACAAGGTCGAACTGCGCCAAAAATCTTGGAGAATCCTGTTGCAAGTTCCAAAGTCAATTATTTGTACCACCTGTTCTCTACATTAAGCTTGAACTCTTTAATTGTTTGTGTGTTGTTTTCGTAAATTTTGACTGTCAAAAACCCCAAAGGAAATAATGGGCAGGGTAAAAGTTAGGGAAATTCGATGACCACTTTTTTGTAAGCTTTGGATTTGACAGATATACATCAAAACTTTTTTTTTGCAACCATGCAAGGGCCACTCTTGATGTGGTGAGTGCATCTCTATTCTGCTGCAACTAGACCTTCATCAACACCATAACCCCCCCCCAAAAAAAAACCCAAAGAAAACAACAACAACATCAAAATTAATCTCCAAAGTTTTCTCAGCACGGGGAGATATCCATCCAATTTGACCATCATGATTTACTGTCTTCGTCCTGAAAATTGTTTTTTAACTTGATATTTCTTGAACGCACAAATTGATTTTACACACTTTGACAATTTGACATTGCCTTGGCTGGATTTTATTTGCTCAAAAACGTGTTGTGATTAGTGCAAAGATGACCGAGTTATTGTCCTTTTAATTGGTCATCATTTTGTTCACACGTCCTGCACTGTGTTTTCGTTTCTTTGAAATGTGGTGTTTTGTTGGGGCAGGGCGGGAGGGTGGGGGGTTGGGGTTTGGTGGAGGGTGTTTAATATTTTAGGGAAAGGAATTTGATTTGGCTGGGGTGGAATGGGGGAGGGGGCAGGAGGAGCCAGTAGTGAATTGATTCCTAAAAGAATTGTGTTTTCTGGGATAGGATCGAGCGTTTCCTTTTTTTCGTCTAAAAATACCCAAAAACTTGTCGGAACAGGGAAAAGGACAAGCAACGCCACAAATTACGAGCTTGTCATTCAGAGCCGTTTCGGAATGTGGCCAGGAAATAGGAGCTCCCTCCACAGCGGAAGAAAGGGTATCAGAGGACGGAAATGGACAAGGCCCTATAGTTCGTGTAGCAGGCTATGAGTGTAGAGAGAAGAGGGCAATCCATTAGCAGTTGTCCAATTAACACCATAATGATTGTGGCTTCTATTTTCTTCACAAATATATTTAGCAGCAAGATCAATATTCAATTATCCGAACTGGTATGGCTAGCCCAAGGAAATCAAATCAGATTTCACCTCTGCGTCTCTGCGTGCATCATTATACGTAGACGAATCAGAGACTCTATTGGATTACTGTGAGTCGTAGAAGTCTATGAGAACTTCAGCTGCTACTGTTGCTGTTGCTGCCAGAGTTACTTCTAGCATGAGGTGACCTCTTATAAGATAGCACCATTCAACGGCTAGCAGTTCAGATGTACAAAAACCAAAATTTACAACAAAAATATCTGTCATTGGTGTTCCTAAATCAGAGGTATTAGTTGCACATGCTCGAGAAATATTTCGTCGGTATAAATTTGAAATTTTTTTAAATTTTAATCAACTGTTAGTTTTAGTAAAGGTTTTACAGCGTTCGCAACTGCATAAGGTCATATGAGCGCCAGAAGATTAGAGATGTTACAAGAGAGTAACGAAGATAAAAAAGAAGAAGGGGAGATAAGGACGATAGGTGTTTGATAGGAAAGAAGAAGCAAACCACACCAGAGCACCCACCAACCACCCACATTGAAAAGAATGAGATCGTTTGTTTGTTTTATATTTTTCTACCCCCTCCTCTCTCTCTCTCTCTCTCTCTCTCTCTCTCTCTCTCTCTCTCTCTCTCTCTCTCTTTCTCTCTCTCTCTCTCTCATTCTCTCTCTCTCTCTCTCTCTCTCTCTCGTTCTCTCTCGCTCTCTGCAGAACGATATAGCTTTCTGGACTTCCAAACAGCTTGACGACGAATTGCTTTGACTCAAGTTTTCTGTTTTCACATCATTTCCAGCTCTCCAAAAAAGTTCTGTCGTCTGCCTTCGTCCCCACTTTTTACCCCCACCCCCTCACCTCTTTTGCCCCCTCCTCTGGGCTCATGACTCTTTCTGCTGCCTTTCTACTGCTTCTGTTTGGCTCCTTCTAACTGCTGTCCTTCAGCCACATCCCTTATCTTTTGATAGATAAGATCTATACCTAGCCTTCTTGGACAAAGGCGAAAAATCTCTGAGGTCCCGTGTGCAAGTTGCGCATGTCAAAGATTCCTTTGTGGTTCAAAATCGATAAGATTAGGCTTCGGCCGCCACTCGGGTAAAATTCAAAATTTTCTACCAACTGAAAATGTTTAGTGTGTCCTGTACGCTCATATGCGAGCGCCGTAAAACTCAAGAAAAAAAAAATAATAACTTCTGTTGCTGCTGCTGTTGCGGCTACAACTACTAATACAGCTCCAGTGAGTAGGTAGGCTCGCTAACTTAATTTATGTCTGCTTGTATTTCAATATGTTTGTGAATCTACTCCATTGGTTTCTGTCTGTTCCCTTGTATTCTGTATGCATGACAGAGAATGTTTTGAATGACACATTTAATGTAAAGCATCCTTCCATCCACCCGATCTACTTAAGTCTCTTTTAATAAATGCCGAGTTCCTCATAATTTGCCGTTCCGCTAAACAGTCCAAAATACTTCAGAAGCAGTGGAATAGAGTTGACTGTTTGCTATTACCCCCGCCCCCAAACCTCCACCTGAAAAAAAGAAAATATCAGATACACTGCAGATCATTTTAATGACCGGTTGGGTTGCCCATGCCTGTAAGGGGTAGACCAAACAGAAGGCAATACAGCATCCAAGCAGAAAAACAGAAACACTCAATAAAATAACTGCCCCATACGAGAACCAAATGTTCGTCTTTTGTGTGTAAAACCAACAAACCTAGTTTTTAAACCTCAGCCATCGATAAGTATTAATAAGAAAATTACCCCCTGCAGCTATCCGTAGTATATTACAATATGTTTAGTCAGGAAATTTTAGGAAGGTCAGAAAACTGTTTTTCTCCCGGTAAATGTAAACTTTGACACCCCCCCCCCCCCCCCCCCCGGGGCCCGGGCCCCCTTTCACCGAAAAAAATAATTTGAGAGCCATTTCCCCACAAGTCCCCAAAACCATTTACAGACTTCAGCTTAATAAGTTAAGGACCACCTTGACAGACAATCCGGCTTTTTGTTAAATCTGAAAAAAGACAAGGAATATTTCAAATTGTTGTTTGTTCTGAAAGTGCTAATGGGTTACCAATACATTCTGCAAAGCTTCCTAAAGGGGCAAAAACCACCACGTGCAGCACCGAAATTTTAGCCTAACTTGCTGTTTTTTATCGACGTGTGTGCCGTAACACGGACATTCCTCAGTTAACATTTCTGGTACACGTCATAAAGAGACGAACGGTCTCGCACTGTGCTCACTTTGAAGGCAATATAAACCGCCGTTGGGAAAAAATCCAGTGTCGCATCAACATGCCACCAAGACGAAAGCTGAGAAACTTTGATCGTGCCGGAGCTATAGTATGGCTGCAGGATTGTGTTGGAGCTCGAGAAGTTGCCAGAAAGATTGCAGTGTCACGTTCTGTCAATGATCGCTGGAGGCAGTGCCATCAAGCCACTGGATCAGTCCAAGAACGCCTACGTGCAGGGCAATAAGAACACTCAGATCGTTTGCAAGTGGTCTTTAACTTATGTTGAAGTCTGCATTAGCTCATAGATAGTGAAGACTACGTACTGGGTCAAATTGGTCCAGGATAAAGGGTTTAGATTTGCTTTTAACTCTATTCCTGGGAAGTTGCCGGGCAGATCTAAAAGTCCAAATGATGTCTCTAAGTGATAAGAACCCCCAGAGGCATTACATTTCACATCGAATGTTTATTACTATCATAAACAGACATCTTCCTCATTTCAACAAGGATAAAGCGCCTAATTTTGGGGAGGCTTGAGCATTTCCTAAAGCTCTGTTTCCGATATTACGGGTTTGCAAACCCTTCAAAATCTAAAAACGACTTAAATCTAGACAAAGACCGTGTTGGAAGGTTGGAATGAGTATCTCTTGCATCCAGAAACCATAATACCTTAGTTGCTCATAATCGTATGTCATCATCTGTTGTAAACTCTTGATATTAAATTGCTTGTCATTTGTCAAAACGAACTATTGTTCTTTCACAGAAAAGTCAATAATAGAAGACATTGGATTTGTCACTGCAAATCTGTGTACTGACTCTGGCCTTTTTCGTGGGAGCAAGTTAATTGCATTGTTAAATGTGTTAATTGGCAGGACAAAAAATAGTAACTTGAAAAATGAAAATTGAAGATCAATAGTTTTCCTTTTAACGTGTTACTCTCTCTCTCTCTCTCTCTCTCTCTCTCTCTCTCTCTCTCTCTCTCTCTCTCTCTCTCTCTCTCTCTCTCTCTCTCTCTCTCTCTCTCTCTCTCTCTCTTTCTTTCTGTGTACGTCTGTCTCTACCTATTTATCCCTCTCTCTTTCTTTCTGTCTGTCTCTCTCTGTATCTTTTCATTATTTCGTTTCTTCTCTCTCTCTTAAGGCGAC